CCAGGAGTCTGAGGTTGCTGTGAGCTAGGCTGACGCCACGGCACTCACTCTAGCCAGGGCAACAAAGTGAGACTCTGTCTCAAAAAAAAAAAAAAACTCAGGATGTGATATGCTATGAGAGCAATATAAAGTGCTAAGGAGATCAGAGGATCTTACACTTGTTTTGGTAAAGCTTCTATAAGGAGACCAGTTCTATCCTAAGACTTACAGGATAAGTAGAATTTCATAGGTAAAGATGAAAGGCATTTCAGAAAAGATATAACTCGAACCAGCAGATGGTGTCAGGAAAGTGGGACTGTGTTTTGGAAACAGAATATAGTTTAGTTTGAGTAGGACATGGAGTGTATATAGGAGATTAGTGGGAGGTAAGGTTAGAGAGGTAGATTGGGATTAGATTTTGGAGGACTGAGAATCCCAGACAGAACGATTTACCTTACTTCTTCATCCAGTCTTCCAAGAATTCCTACAGTGTGTGTAATATATACTTAGCTTTTGTTTTCTGCCTGTGCCAACACAATTCAACTATAAGCATTCCAAGGGCAGGAACCTATCTTATTCTTTCTTTTTCTCCAGCATGCTCAGAGAGTAGTGAGTGTGCAAATTATTTATTGATTTTGATTGGTGGGCAAAATTTGGTTTGGTATTTGTTGACACAAACCATTAATACAGTGAACCAAAGATTCACGTATTTGTTTTTTATCATTTCAGAAAGGAGAAAGAGCCAGTGGTAGCTGAGACAGTAGAAGAGGTGAAAAAGGAACCTATTCTGGTGTGTCCACCCTTACGAAGCCGAACGTACATACCACCTGAAGATCTCCAGAGTCGTTTGGAATCTTATGTTAAAGAAGTTTTTGGTTCAACTCTTCCCAGTAATTGGCAGGATATCTCCCTGGAAGATGGTCATCTGAAGTTCAATCTCTTGGCACATTTAGCTGATGACTTGGGCCATGCAGTCCCTAACTCCAGGCTGTACCAGATGTGCAGAGTCAGAGATGTTCTTGATTTCTATAATGTCCCTGTTCAAGATAGATCTAAATTTGATGAACTTAATACCAGTAATCTGCCTCCTAATTTGAAAATCACTTGGAGTTATTGAGCAGAAGGGGAGCACATTGAAATCATTTTTCCCCTTGAGGAAGGGGGCTACATATTAGACCTCTTGGTATATAAAATGCCATCAGAACTGTTCTCTAAACCCACTTTTTCTGTAGAAGAATGCATCATCTCTTTTTTTGTCTCATATCATGAATCAACAAAGAAATAAGAGGATTTTGTATCTTCACATTTGCTGAAGCCGTTTTTTTAATGGAATTGAGTCATTAATAATTTATGAAAAATTTCTTCTTCAAAAAACACTGAAATTAACTTGAGCTTAATACAGGAGGACATTACAAATTCAGACCCTTCATAGGCATAAAGTAGTAGTTGCATGAAAATGTTTTAGTTCTGTTAGGACTCTAAAATCCAAGATAGAATTGTATATAGCATGTATACAATTATAGAAACTTGTATTAGATTAAGTATTTATAAGAGAAACATAAACATCTGTATTGCATATTACCGTCCATTCTGGATTAATTTCTTTTGGAATTAAAGTAGATTTATTAAAATTATGTGTGTTTTTAATTTTTTTAAGTGAAATTTGCTTTTCTTTTCTCCCTTGCTGTTTCTTTAAAGTATGTATTATAACTTTGAAAAAAATTAGGCTATGTGCCAACTATTAAGCGCTTTTGATTTTTTTTCTATTGTTTTTCTATTCTCTATTGAATTTATGTCTACTCTGATCTTTATTATTTCCTTCCTTTGGGCTTAATTTTTTCTTTTTCTAATTCTTTGAGGTTAAATGTTAAATTCTTTGAGATCTTTCTTTTTTAATAGAGGTATTTATTGCTATAAACTTTCCTCTTATTACTGTTTTTTCTGCATCTCATAAATTCTGGTATGTTTTGTTTTGTTTGTCTTATTTTTTAAATTCCTTTTTTATTTCCTCTTTGACTCAGTGGTTGATTAAGAGGGTGTTGTTTAGTTTCCATTTGTCAATTTTTTCATTTTCTTGCTGTTACTTATTTCTAGTTTAATTCTATTGTGGTCAATAAAGATACTTGGTATGATTTTGATCTTGTTAAATTTGCGAAGACTTGTTTTGTGACCTAACACATGATCTAGAGAATGTTGTGTGTGTGCTGGAGAAGATTGTATATTCTTTTGCTGTTGTATAGAAAGTTCTGTTGGGTCCATTTGGTCTATAGTGGTATGCAAGTCCATTGTTTATTGATTTCCTGTCTGTATGTTCTATCCATTATTGAAAGCGGGATATTGAATTCTCTTGCTATTGCATTGTTGTCAATTTCTCCTTTCAGATCTATCAATATTTGCTTTATATACTTAGGTGCTCTCATGTTGGGTACACATGTATTTACAATTGTTATATCTTCCTGTTAAATTGACCTTTTTATCCTTCCGTAATGACCTTCATCTTTGTCTCTAGAGACAGTTTTTGACTTAAAGTTTGTTTTGTCTGATGTATGTATAGCTATTCCTACTTTCTTTTGGCTAACATTCCATGGAACATCTTTTTACATCTTTTCATTTTCAGCCTGTGTGTGTCCTTGAATCTAAAATGAGTTTCTTGTGGACAGCATATAGTTGGGTCTTATTTTTTAATTCATTCAGCCACTCTGTATCTTTTGTTGGGGTGTTTAATCCATTTATGTGAATTACTTTTCATTCTATGCGTGATGAGATTTGACTGCAGTGATTTGAGGAGAATATGGGAGGTGAGGAGTTAGATACTAAGTATAGACAAGTCTTTTGAGAAGTCTTGTTGAAAAGGTGAGCAGTAGCTAGAAGGGAACATGTAGTCTAGGGGAAATTTTTTTTGTTTAAAAATAGGACACATTACAGTATATTTTGTGCCCTGGGAATACTCTAGTAGGTAGTAAGAAGTTGATTTTAAAAACTGGTTCAGAAAGAGAGATTAATTGCGGGAACAAAGTCTTTAAGGCAAGGAGAAATTGCATTAAAAACCATATTCTTGACCAAACACCATTTTATTTCTGGTGCTTCCAGTTTCTATAGGGATGAGCAGTACCAATCAAATGCCAACTCCATGGGGAACAGGAATCTCTAGGTAATTTATGAACACATCTTTTATTAAGCACTTAAATGATACACGTTACTTCACATTGGCCCATCTACTCAATAATAGTTATTCAAGCAGTTACTAAATATGTTTTCAAAGAACCTCCTAAATCAATAAAACATCTATCTTTAGGAGTTTATCATCTGGTACAGTGGTTCTCAACCAGAGACATTTTTGCATGCCAGGGACATTTGGCACTGTCTTTTGGTTGTCATGACTGGGGGACAGGAGTGCTACTGGCATCTAGTAGACAGAAGCAGGGATGCTGCTAAACATTCTACAATGAACAGGAGAGCCCTCCGTAATAACAAATTATCTTGTCCAAGATGTCGATAATGTTGAGTCTAAGACAGCCTGATATGGTAAGAGTATTATGTTCTGCGGTGAGCAGATATATACAGATCTACCCCTAGAGGCTGAGGGAAGTGAGAG